CAATATTTTTGATATCCCAATACGAAAAGATGTTTTTTTTCTTATTTTTATTTAAAGAGTAAGACCAGTAAGCTACAGAATTCATTACTAACATTAATTATAATTCTGTATTTTATGACTTGTGAATGTTTATCGTTGGTCCCCATATCCTCATAAACAGAGATAGGTTCCATTAAACTAGACTATTTTTCTCTTTTTGCCAGAGGAAGTATAAAAGTTTAAAAAAAAGAGAGCGAAAGAGAATATCAACGAATGTATTGTAGAGTTTACCGTTCTAAATGGGAGATAATTAATGGTCCATAAAATATTTACAAATTATTTTCTAATTTGTAATGCCTATAAAAATTAGGAGATCTGAAACATGATGTGAGTAATACATCAAATATGGAGTGACACATCAATTCCTTTCTCGTGTTTGATAGAAAAATAAATTATAAGTTATTGTATACAATATTTTTACAAATTATTTTCTAATTTGTAATGCCTATAAAAATTAGGAGATCTGAAACATGATGTGAGTAATACATCAAATATGGAGTGACACATCAATTCCTTTCTCGTGTTTGATAGAAAAATAAATTATAAGTTATTGTATACAATATTTTATATTTATAATCGATCGTTTCGATAAGTGTGTCATTAAAGTTTTTTCTTAAAAAAATCTTAAACAATAAAACATATTTATCTTGGAATTTATTTAGCTTCTTTCAATGCAAAGTATGAAAAAAAAATCATTAAAAATTTTCCTTAAGTTTATAATATTTTTCCATTTAAAAGTTCATAACATAACTATAAAGGCTAATCTATAAAATGTTTTGAATTATTTAATAAAAGCACATCTCAACTCAATGTTTTAAAAGAATTCAATTTAGATATAACATATAAAACTATTTATTGCTTGGAATAATACATTTTAATTACTTAAATTACATAATTTAAATCATTTTATTATATAAATTATCTATAAACTTATTGGCTGTACTGTACCTATAGGCTATATTATTTTGCTATTTATATAATATTTAGCAGAGAAATGCGACTTTTCCGTATTTTCAATACGTTAAATAGATAAATAGAACATGAATTCAAGAAACAAATAATTAAATTATTCATTTTAATATATTATAAATAATAAGACAGTTATAACTATTGGTTAGCCTATATTTTAACTTAGAAATATAGTTAATTTAATTGAGAAATGAGATCTATATGATAAATCTTTATTATTATTATTATTTTTTCCTCACATCTGTATTCAAGTATCTACATATGGCAAAAGATATTGCCATCTGTATATTAATCTAATAAAATTATAAACAACTTGAAAACGTGGTAGACCTGTCCACCGCGAGTATAGATTGCATTTTATTTTCGATTTACTTTTATATTTAAAATAAATTTTAGTATAATTTATTGAAACTTGTCTTTAATAAAAAATTTACGATCAATTCTACTAAAATTTCAATTTTTAAAAATTTTTATTTAATATGTAAATAATTTAGTATCTTATACCTTATAAGATAATATAAGGAAATCTTAGGAATAAAAAATAATTATTGAGTAAAATAACTGTTTATAAATGCGCCCACTGTTTATAATGTTTTATATTGTTATGTATTAATATATTTTAAATATTTTATTTCTACTGTAAAACAATTTAATTACAGACTTAATATGTAAAAATATTTAATGCTAAACTAATCTGTTAATGCTTAAACTGTAACTTATTAAGCTGACACTTAAGCATGCTTTACATGAAAATAATTTTAAATAATATTTACGTTTGTTAGATTTTTACTCGGAATCTTATAAAATTTAGCCAGAAATTTTAATAAATTTTATTTCAGACTTATTTTTTTTCCAGCTGAGTACAATACAACGATAAATGTTCTAAGTTATTAATATAAAATTAAATAAAATTCTATTTTATAACACCGATAAGTTACTTATAAGCTTTATATAAGTTAGTCCTTTATAAAGCACAAAGTTAATGAATTAATATTACATCTTATGTTAACCTAGCTGAAATATAACAACAAATTTTAGATTTATTAATGTAATTTTTCATAATAAATAAATAAATATTTATAAAATTACTTAAATATTTCAATTTATAGGCCTAATTATAATATAGATTAGAGGTTTTAAAGAAATATCTTATTAGTATTTATAATTAACTTTAAACTCTTTTGTTTAATAAACAAAATGTTTCCTTTAATTAGTACGAAAATTATTTTAATTAAATAATTTTACATTTTTATAAATTTATAAGTCCAATTTTAGTGCTTAAGCTCTCAACATCTTCATTTATTAAAGAATCTAAGAAATTTAAATTTGAAAAACAGAATTTAGATGGATAAAAATGAAGAATTTTAAAGCAAAATATCGAATATACATGCTTATATAATTAAATTTAAATGATATTTAAGTTTGAGTGAGGATTGAAGTATCATATATTTATATTTATTAAGATCAAAGAGAAAAGCAGAAAATAAATTTGTTTTTTGATTTTCTTTACTTCTTTTTCTTCCTTCAAAAGAAACGTTCAATAAGAGATAATAGATTAAAATTTAAAATTACTTTTTTATCTTTCAGTAAAAATGTTCTACATGAAGAGTAATTTGTAATAAATATCCTGAATGAAATGAAATAAATGAGTAAGAAATTAGATCTTTATTTGCTACAACGTTTAAAAGTTTACAATAAATGTCACAAAAACTTGTTACACTTAAAGTTCTTTGTAAAAATCGATCCTTATAACACAAATAAAGGTTCTATTCAAGATAAAGAAATAAAGAATTGTTAAATTTTATAAAAGATGACAAGAAGCGAATAGTTTAAGATAAAGAAAACAGTCTTTTATCTTATCGAAAATAGAAATTAGGAATATAGGCAGATAAAACATTTAAATGAAAACAAAATGAAAGCCTATATTAATCACTGTTAAAATAAGCTTCAGTAGAAAGAGACTACTTATTAAAACATCAACGTCATATAGAAAATTCTCTTCGAGGATCTTTCAAGACGACAATTTAAACAATAGACTAAGTTTTAAAGAGACAATTATTTTTTAAATAAATATTCTACATATAAAAGAGATGAGAGTATCTCATTTTCTAACATCGTAAAAAGTTGACTGTCGTTAATGCTATCTTTAATATCCCGACCGCGTATAGAATAAAAGATACAATTCCTGTTACCGTTGTTGCCAATGACATAAATCCTACCATAAGGTATGCTGTTTCAGTCTTGCTTTCTTAATACAGACCCTGCACTCTGCATAGATATTAAAAGTGTTTTTTCTTACTCCTAAATATATCGGAACGAACAGATAGGAGCTTAACCTATGCTTTAGTGGTAAGAATGTATATTATCATTTATATATTTGCATTATGTAAATTTCCTATAGTTCAAGACAGTTTTTAAATATTAAAATGCTCACATGTTAACTAATTCTTAAGAATTTCTATCTAGAAAATCTAAAAAACAATTTAAAAATTTATAAATAATAATTTTATTACTGATAAACTAAGTAAAAACATGTAAAAGTTATTTGTTATAAATCCTATCGAAGGCCTTCGATAGAATTTATAACAAATTATACGGATTTATTCTTCTTTTCTATAATATAAACTATTACATTGTATTAAATTAATACAATATAATAGTTTATATTATAGAAATTTTCCTTCATATTTTATATTTTGTCTATTCGTTGTTTAAAAGTTTTGTATAGTTAGAATGGCTTGTTTAAAATTTAGTTGTATAAAAAAATTTGACCTTATACAACAAAAAAATCTATAGAAATAAGCTTTATTATTATAGAACAGAAAATTATAAGGCCTACTATAATTAAGGTTCACAAAGGCCTATAGAAGCCATTTTTAACTCTAAGATGTTGTAAAATAGCCTTCAAACTTATATTAATTGCTTTTTATTTGTTATTTTAAAACTTGGCCCATAAAAAATACAGTGTTAATATGTTATTAAATATATGTTGCATTAATAAATATTATTAAAATATCTTAAAACTTGATTTAAATTAAAAGTAAATTAAAAATCTAAATTAAATAGAAATGTCTAAGGTCAATATAAAATATTTTTTAAAATAAAAGTAAAGGTAAATATTATATTTACGCTCTATTATTAAGATATAAATATTTAAACGTAAAAAATTAATAATTTAAAGGAAAATAAAAAGCAAAATTTTATATTTAATTTGTTTTTTACTTGTATACTTTATAAATTTTTTACTATAAAGTTTAATAATAAATACAATTAGCTTAATTTAACTTTGTTAATATTATAATACATATTTTTTAAGATAAAAATATACAGTAAATATTTTACATTTTAATAAATTTCTACAAATACATTTAAATTAAAATCTATAATAATCTCATAAATAATGTTTTCAACGTGTAAACAGGCTTAAAATTTATGTAAAATTTCTAATTAATTATTATTAATACTGTTTTTGTTAGGATTAACTAGTTAGTTTCATTAAATTATCAGATAATTATATAAAAATATAAATTAATAAAAATACCTTACAAAAACCAATTCGAGTTTTATATTCCACAATTTAATTTGAAGCACAATTTTATGTTTTATGCTAAATTCTATAATTCTATCCGAAATTCAAGGCCTCCCAGGGGTAGGGGGCCTGGGGAAAAACACATTTTGGAGGCCCTATATCAAATTAAATTATATTAAACAATAGGAAATAAACGAAATTGTATAGAGGTCCCACTTCCACAAGCCCAAGACATTTTGTTCCTTTTGCCCCACTCTGAAAGTCCCTGTTGAGGTCTTCTACATTTAAAATTTAAAGTGTGGTTTAATAAATGTAGATAATTTTTTTAATAAAGTATTATTTTTTTTCTACTTAAGATATTAAGAATTTTCTTTTATCATCAAATTAACTAAAAAGTTATAAATAATTAACGATTTAATCTAATAAAAGTATATACAGTATATTTGTTTATAAATTTACTTACCGGGTATCATGTAGAGGTGGACTAATGGATGAACGATTCGCTTAGCTCACTTTGGATTCGTCTAAATAAATAAAGAAATAAAATAAAACTTGTGGGAAAAACTTCAGATTTAGCCTAATTATAAAAAAGTCATCAGTTGTATAGAAATAAATTTATATTATATAAAATTCTATACATTAATTTTTTAAGTAAGTTTATATAGCTTCGTTTTTTCGTTTTTTAAATTAAGTTTTATTGATTTAATACTGTAAAAAATTTAAATTTATACATTTCTTAGGCTCGGATAACATCAATATTTGCGTAATTAATAATAGAAAAAAAATTGAGATTATTATTTTTTTTATTTTTATTATTGTTAATTTTTATAAAAATATTATTTGCATTTGCATTTAAGTTGGTGAAAAAGATATTCTCTACGTGCTTAGGTCAAGGATAACGAGCTTTTATTATATTTTTTTCAGTTGACCAAGATGAGATTTAGGTCTTAGGCACTTTAGCCTATTTTCTATTTTAAAAACTTCTGACTTGATTCATCAAATAGAGCATAGGTCTATAAATTCAGCTTAAAAAATAAAAGGGGAAAAAATTGTTTTAACTTAGCCAAAAATACAAAGTAATACATAAAATCTATCAATCATTTGTAAAGTTGGTAAATCTATTTGGTAAATACAGAATTATTATAAAAATATAATTCAAAATTAGTTAATCATTGCTAGTAGGCCTATAATTTCGATGTTTAAACTTTAGATGACAAATTAAAATTAAGAAAACTTTATTTTTCATATAAATTAGCTTCGTATACTTCTTCTCCATAATTAAGAGCGTGTAGACTCAAGATTTATAATTGTTTCTATCCTTAAAGATCTCTCGTTATACTGTATTATTATATTGTTATATGGTAAAGATATATCTAGCATATTATATTATTTTAAGCGTAGGTCTATATAGTTTTAAAATGTACAATATTATCAAGCATACTTTACATATATTTTATATAAGATGCAGAGAAGAATTTTTATAACGATTTATAATGATTTAAAATTTTTAAATTTACCTATAAGCTTCGTTTTTAAAAAATGAAAGTCTACAATTTCCAATTATTGAATAACTTCAAGCTTAATTAATGCTAATTAAAATTATATAAATCATTTTTTAAAATGTTGGAAAGCTTATTTCTTATTTCATATTAAATATTAAAAGTAGAATCATAACTGAATTTTAATATATTATAGTAACTGTAAAATACTGTAGTTTAGATCTATAGGCCTGATAACTTAATTTAAACTGTTTTATAATGAGTATTATATTCATAATCTCTATATTAAATTAAATATTATATAATATAAGTTATAATTAAAGTGAATTAATAAAAATTAAATAATACAATTTAAAACCCTAGACTTATACGAGTTCTTCTCGTCTACAAGGCTTAATTTTTGGATCTTTAAGCTATGCAAATTCGAATTTCTTTTGTTTTTTTGGTATATAAACCATCCAATCTCAAAATAATCAACATTTTATCGTCATATAAAATTATCTATGTTTATATTTATCATACATCATGCTAATATGCAATTTGCACATAAGATATAGCCTATAGATTTTATAAATAATTTTCTTATCGTATAAAACGAATGTGAGCTCAAGGTTTTACTAGTTTTTCAAGCTGACTGACTATAAAATTCTTTTCAAATAGTATAATTTTAAATAGTAACATTGTTATTTAAGAAGATATTGCATTATAAATTACGAAAAAATTTTATATGTTATATATAATTTAATAAAAGTTTAACAACAGAGTAAGGTTATCTTTACTTGTGCGGCTTATGTGCAGAAGTACTGTACAGGTTGACACTATAAACACAGCAGGATCAGAAGCATAAAACTCGTTAATGATAAAATAGAAGATAGATATAATAAATTTAAATATGAATTACAGGCCTAAATATTCTAGTGAAAGTTAATTAAAGACTTCGAACAGACTTCAAATAATTAATTTTTTAAATCATAATCAATCATAAAAAGCTTGTAATTTAATTTAAATTCAAGAACTTAAATATATATTATTAAATTTAGAATAATTTATATTAGTAACTAGAATATTATAGGAAAAACTTTGGAATTAAAATTTTAAGACTAGACTTCTTATTAATTCAAAGATATAGGCCTATTAAATAGCAAAATGATTTATAATTTTGTCATAACTTAAAAACTTTTTACTATTAATGTTCAAATTCTTCTAGTAAAATATATTGCCGCAATACGTATATAAATTATTATTTCACAGGTAATATTTACCTTCTTCAGTTTTTCATATTAAAAAGTTCTTGAAAAAAATGACTTTTTTTAAATGAAGAAAACGATGAACAAAGACTTAAAGAAGTTATAAGAGAGAAGAGAAAATAAGTTATATTAAATAGTCTTGTTTTTGTAATAACTACTCATTCAACCTTCTATTGCTTCTAAAACATACTTTTTCTATTGAATAAAATAAAAAAATAAAAATAAAAAAAATTACTTATAAGGAGAAATAATTCGGAAACTTTCTTTATTATTCTATATTTGTTTTAAAACAACACAGGAATATTACTATAAATTCTAATAAACTTATCTATTATCAAACTTCTAACAAGAGTAGAAATTAATAGAGAAGGGAAGTCTTTGGTTATTTGAAATCAAAAGCGCTGTTAAATTCTGATCGAGACAATCGAAATAATCTATTGGAATGATCATAAAAGCATTAAATAGATTTCTTACGCCATACACATGACAACAAATGAAGGGGAGGATTCGCTGGCACGATTGACAAATGAATCTCATCTCATCTAAACTTGGTAGACTAATTCAATAAAATTGTGTCTGCTTGAATACGTGGCTATTCTAAAATATTATCGTAAAGATAAGAAAGCTATTCTAAGAAAATTATATATGAAAACACATTTTTACTAATGAGTTTTTAATTTAGATTTAAGCATAATGAAAATCAAATTATCTAATTCGTTATGATATTTGGACCTATTTAGTAGATAGATCTACGATATTTGCTAGGTTCACAACACAAGAGAGGTTATGAAATGAATTTAAAATCAATATAAACATGCAGGAAATTTATGGAAGTTTCAGATAAATTTATTAGTTAGTTTACAACATAATTTATTAAAATTAATCTTATTAACCTGTCGAATTACAGGGTTTTATTTTATAAACACTCTTTAAGTTTATAAAAATTTAAATTAGAATTCTATCCCATAAACTTTAATTAGTTAAAAATCTAATTGTAATTAATATCATAATCTAAATAATAAGCGAAATAACGAGTATATTATATTCATTATTAATTTTATATTAAAATTTTAAAGTATTACTATTGTAAAATTATAATACTCTACGAGTTGAAAGATAAATGTTTGCATATTTAATTTAATTTTATTCAAAGCTGAATTTAATAAGCCGGCAATTAAAAATTTGGCCTAAACCCTAATATGTATACCTAACGGTATGATGTAAGTACAGTACAAGAAAGCAATGAAGTTAAACTTTCAATGCCAATGTCCATTTAGTTTTAAGACCAAATAAGAAATTAAAACTTTGATAAATAATTTATTTATTTATATTTCTTATTCTTTGTAATGATAATGATTATTATTTTTCTTTTAAAATAAAAAATTTCGAGGAAAATAATAATTTCAGTATATTATTAATTAAAAATAATCATTGCAACAAATTACATTTTAAATATATACCGTGATTATAATTATTATTTACAAAAATAAAAATAGATTTAACAAGAAAATTTCTAGAAAACTAGAAAAAAAATATTTAGCTGTAAAATAACGGTTTACAATATTTAAAGGACTTAGTAATATTATTTAATATTGAATTATACATTCATCATTAGATTAAATTGAAAAATATTGTCTAAACTATAGTTTCTTTTTCTTAAGTCGATTTCGATTAAATGTTAAAGAACGTTAAAACTTCAATTATAACTATGTGAAAATTTCCGATATAGCATTATATTTTGTCGAATTGATGCTTCTATCTCGTAACAAATAAAGAAAAAACTAAGTTTCGTCAACTTACCCCGCAAGTTAAAGTGTTCCTTTATTTACAAAATTAAATATAATATACTAAGTTTATTTTCTTTCTAATGTTTATTCGTTAAATTTATGACATTTAAATATACATAAAAATGTAATTACACCATTTTATACTATAAACATCTCTTCAAAACTCGCTGACTTTTGTAGTTTACATTCTCTTTAATAGAACTTTAAAAGAGTGATGAGACATATAAAGAATTTTTAATAGTTAAAGGCCAAGTGATCATAATGAAAGTATAGGCCTATATATACTTTTTAATTTGACTCTTCAAATTTTTTTAATTTTACAACTTGAATATTCTAAAATTGCAACGATTTTTGAGAAAAAAAATTTTTGAAATCAGTTTTATCTCAGTAGAAAGTCTAAATAATATTAAAATTTCTGGACGATTATTAGATGCTAATCCGTATTTTATATTAATATTTTATTATTTTCGGCTCTTAAACCTCATTAAATATTTTACATATTTTTGCTCTTCGAATTTCGAGCATCCTCCTGTAATTATGAAGGATATTCGAACTTTCGGGAGAACAACTCCCAGGTGACATCAGTTTGTAAATTACAAATTAAGATTATAAAATAATAAATCTTTAAATGCGTTAAGACATTTTCTTAAGGTATTTAAGACATCAACAAGTATAGGCCTAATCGTTCAAACATATTTAAATAAGTTGTGCCTTTTGTTGATACTAAAACTGCAGATTTCACTAAAAAATTTCAGGATTTAAAAAAAAAAATAAAATACTTCTAAAAGAAAATTTAATATTTTTAACTTTTATTATAAAATTTAATGTTTAATTTATTTATTTCTTATAATTTAAATTTTCAAGCTTTTCTAAAAGAGAAATCAAATGTTGATTAGTGGTTTAGTCTAAACTTTTCGTATTAGTTCAATTTTAATGTCTATATCTTATAAACATTAGTGATTAGACTGATTTCTCCGATTGGTTTAGGCCTATGTTTTAATATTGTGAATAGATTTACAAGATAAATATCCTTCGAATGTGATAAAAAAAATTTGATAAAAATATGCAACCGAAGCGATGCATACAACTAGATTTTTATAGCGAATACTTGAATAATTTATCCTTATAATGAAAATTTTAATTAATAAATGAATAATAATCTATTAAAAAAAACTATCATTTTGTCAATCAAGCAATAAAGTTTATTATTATTTTAAAATTATGTTAACTTATCTTTAAATTTGTCATAATCATTATAAAATATTCCATTGGATACTTGACCATAAAACAACTGATTAATAAAGATTAATTAGCTTTAACTCTTAAAATACGAGTTTTTATACAAGAAAGTATAATTTTAATTGTTATTTAAAGTTATTCCATTAAAAGCGAATTTTATGTAGAAAGTAATATTAATTAAAACATTTTTTGATCGTATAAATGAAAAATAAACTGGCACTTTATATATTTTATAATATATATTAGATTTAAGCAGATATAGTACTGTACTGTGCATTATAATGAAAATTCCGAAGGTTAACATACTTTAAATGAAAGAAAGATAGTTTCGTTTAATGGCTTTTGTCAAATTACCATGAAATTCTTGACTCATTCAAAACATTTTGTAGCGGCTTAGGTTAAAGAAAGGATTTATTTCGTACTCGCAATCAAATGGACAGTAAACGTCCACTTAATCCGAAGTTACAAAGAATATCCCTTTCACAATTCCTTGTTTATTTGTTCGGAAAGTCTCCGTATGTGATCCGGGACAACCCTATACACATATTAAACAAATCAACAATGAGAGAAACACGAGTCAAAATTGCTTTCCTCCAGGCAAACAACACTGTAAGATTGTCGCTTGCATGAAAGGATATTTCTGTTTGTTGATGTCTAAGTCGAAGCTCCAATTTCAAAGACCTAATATAATTAAAGTGAGGGTAATAGACCAATAGAGAACCATTCTCTACCGATCCCCGATACCGAAAGAGGTCGTAAAATTCCATAAATAGAAGGCGTCATCGTTTAAGTACCGCCACCAATCCCGTTGAAATATCTTGGGTCGACCGTGGTTGACAGCTACTCGGGATTTTCTGTCCAGTTGGAATTCTATGCCTTTTGTCGTCGTCTCCTGTATGGTTTAACGATCAACAAGTCTTCGTAGTGGGGTGATGGGTTGCGTAAGAAGTCAAGGGAAACAGTATTGGTAGTAAAGAACGCAAATTATATAGTTTTTACGATGGAGTCGAGAACGACTCACCAGCTGCATACGGCTAGTTAATGTGACGCACGACCCGAAGCCTATTTAAAACTAACCTCCGAGACCCGGAAGAATTGAATGAAAGGAAAAGACATTATATTTCACAATGTGTTGTATGATAGATGAGATACAATAGAATAAGGGTGAGGTTATGAAAAAGTCGGCGGAATGATCTCACTCTTTATACAATTGTTGACACTCCACACGTTTTGTATCATGTCTTATTTCCCATCCTGTTTATGACGTTTTGCCATATGTTATTGCAAAATATGTTTCGTTTAATTTAAAACTGTATGTTGAAAATGAAAACTATTATACAAACTTAAATTTTTAAGTCAAATATTAAAAGTTTTAAAACATTTTTAAAAATTGTTGTATTATATACTACAGTAATCTAAATAATAAATAATAATTATTAATAAAAATTTGCCATTATATAGTATATCTTATTCTTTGTAATGATAATGATTATTATTTTTCTTTTAAAATAAAAAATTTCGAGGAAAATAATAATTTCAGTATATTATTAATTAAAAATAATCATTGCAACAAATTACATTTTAAATATATACCGTGATTATAATTATTATTTACAAAAATAAAAATAGATTTAACAAGAAAATTTCTAGAAANTAAGATATACAAGTTTTACATAGGCGCTTATACTATAGGATATACTATTTATTAATAGAAACTGTAAACTTGATGTATAGGCTAGATATAGATAGAGCTACACCAAACTTATGATGCATTACATATATTTTTTTGTTATAAAATATTAAAATAAATTAATCTCTTGAGATATACTTAGGTCTAAAAATATTGAGCTAATGTTACTATGTTCATAAACTTAACACAAACTACAGACTGGCATGCTAAATATCATAAAGCGCATGTTCTAAATAAATCCATTTAAACTATTAACAATAAAAATAACCTTAAAAATTATCATAAAAATCGATATAAATTTCATTTATACACCGACCTATCAATGCAATAATTCGGTTTTGAAAACTAATTTATATCATTTTATAGCAATAAAATTTTCTCTAAATCAACATGTTATTTTCAATTACGAGCAATAAACTTACCACTATAAATCTTTAATTCTTGTTTTATAGAAAATTAAAAATAATGTAGATGCCAGAAAGATTTTAAAACTCAACTCTTGTCTCATAAGAAGACATTCGATAGTCAACGGATCATGCAGTCCAGGTCTCCACTAGGAGTGATACTTCGAGCATTAACCAATCATCTGCTGCAAATGTTTTTCCTTATGACCAATAGAACTACTTGATATTCCTGGGAATGGATGCTCCTCCTACTCGTACGACACTTAATATGGATTGAGAAAAATGACAAGACTTTACTATTTAGACTATTTAGAAGTTTTTAAATCTAATTACTTTAAACAATTTATATAAATTTTAATATTTTTAAACTGGGAAAACAATATATTTTAGTTGAAACAATAATGAAAAAAGATAATTACATTTATTAAATCAATTTTTTTAGTATTTTTTGTAAGTATATGTAGCCTATAAAGCCTACACAACAACAAAATTTTGATATTAAAGAGTAGAAAAACAACTTTAAAAAAAATTTTAATCTTAATCTAGATGTATTTTTCTTTTTAAAAATTCTTAAAAACAAACATTCTGTAGCTAATTTTTTTCGGAAAAGTATCTTAAGAATTTGAAGGAAATTACTGAACTTTATTTTTTCATTAGAATATAAATTCATTTTACCTTTATAGTTCTAAAAAGTAAAAGAACGGTTTGCACATTAGATATAAATTTTACAGAATATGTTAATAATAGAAAAGATATTACAAGTTACAATTCAGGAAGTGGAAATGACGTTATTTACCAATTATTTCCGGAAAATAAAAAAAAATTGCCATCATATACACTGTCATAAATTTCTCCCACTCATCTCCCGTCTTCTTATACGTCATATTATTATATAAAAATAAAAAATAAACAGAAAACTTAAGTTTTGAGAATATTTTATTGATTTAAAAGTGGTTTTTGCATTCTAACTAATTAAAAAAAAAAATAATAAAAACTTAGGTGTTTGCTTCAGGTATTAAGATCTAGGAACTGAGTCAGGCCTATCTTTCAATATGGCTAAGGTCTTAAAGCATGTTATTTTATCAGTTATTGATTATCATTAAGAAAACGATGTAACTCAGACATTAATAATGACATATAATTTAATAAATTATAATTTAGCGCTAATTTTGTAGGTTGTAAAAATCTAAGATTTTAATTTTCGAAAGCTTTTATAAATTACGCCTATTTTATTTTGCAGAATGCAGAGACGACTTTAATTGCTGAGAACTTAACGTTAACAAATATTTTATTGGCTATTAAAAGTTGTAGACTACAAGGACTACATAAGATAGTCCCACGTTCAATTTATTTAATTTTAATGCTACAGACCAGCAGAAAGCCTGCTATTACGACATAATTTTGAGAAAAGGAACACGAAGAATCGTTCAAGTAAGATGAACTTGAATCACTTCTGAAATTACGTATTAATGTTAACAAGAGGATTGTTTTTAATTTATTTTGAATATAGTACACCTATATTACGTTCAAGTAGTCTAATTATCAGTAAACTTGTAGAGTTTCTAACAGACTTAGGCCTGTGGTAATTCTAAATCTGAAATCTTTATCAGTTAATATTGTGAAAACTATAGACCAAAGTTGCAAAACAAAATAAAAACGAATAAAACTAAAATCACTTTTTAATTATATTCAAGATGTTTAATATTTTGTTATTATTCACAGATTACTTATCAGTCATTTACCTGAACTGTCCCTTGTATTTCCAGATCAGTTTGGTATAGCATCTCTCTTATTTCATATTTTGCCTATAGGCTTAGTGCATGAGTTGTTTATATTTTATTTTTTCCCCTTTTTTTAAAGTTGTTTTACTAGAATTGTAAATACATTATTCAAGACGGTTAGAAGATGTCAGGGCCAAAAATGCCTTGCGGAACGGATAGTTAGTTCTTTTTTGGACTCATAATCATGGGTTGCAATCAGATAATCGTAGGTTCGAGACTGTAAAATTTTCTTTTCTTCGGCAGATCGACTAGGTATAGAGGATGTCTTTGTCATGTTTCTTCCACATATAAACAACTTTTGTATTGTCCAATCATTGCAGAGAACTTTCTTCAACTTCTTTAACTCCAAAAGAAAGATATTTTTCAAAATGGCCGAACAGAACTTTTCTAAAAGAGATTAATGGACTTTTTAAGCCTTTGTAAACTCTAATTGTTGGGAGCTCTTCTAATTGCAACGCTACTTCTCCAATCTATTGTTCCATGCGTGGGAAACATAACCTAAACTTTTTTTGTGAGTCTCCATTCAACTCTTTTAGTAGGGTCTAGTAGTAGATCGACTGTATTGCTAATATATAGAATATAGCTTCTATATATTTAAATATATATATATCTTGTGTTTAAAAAACTGTTTAAATTCTAAATATCGAACAAAAGACTAACTACAAGTAAAAATAATTTTTATTCGGTTTAGTTCGCTTAGAATCTGGTTTATAAATGAGCAATTTAATTAGCATGTTATCAAAATAGATTTTTAATTACTTGTAATAAAAATTATTCAGTTTTCTTCAATTATATTAAAGCTAAATGTATAGGATTGTGTTCTAGATTTAAATCAACAATATGGCGTTGATAACAATTCAAGAGGGCATTCAAACTTGAATTCCTATCTACAGAAAAGCATCTAAGTTTCAATGCTATATAAAATGACATTTCATAATATAATAGTTTTAACCTTTAGCTCAATAAATGCATTTTCTACGAGATAAACATCCATTCGAGTTGCGTGGTTCTTTTATTTCTAGTTTCAATTTATTTTTGAGCATGTTCTCGACTAGTTGAACGATACGACAGTACTTGCCATTGACGTGGCGATGTGTGGTCTAGATTATCAGATTAGATTCGACTCCGCAGACTAATCTTAAGATTTATTCTAAATAAAAATTATAACAGAATTCCGGGAACAAAGCGTAAAATATTCTGTTGAATTATAACGCTTGTGAAACAATTAGATTAGTTCATAAAATTTAAAGCAATTAGGTTATTTAAATTGACGTTAAAATTAATAAAGAAAGTATAAATTTACTTTATAATTTTCTAAATAAGTTAAAATTTAAAAGAATTACAGGCGCGAGAAGAAATCGTTTCCATGTTATTTCATAAATTTAATTAAATTACATAAATCAAATCGAATTCAGCTGTGAGTTTTATAATATTTCTGTTTAATTATTATAAAAATTTTAAAAATCATTTAGTTTTATAAGAGAATTTAAGAGTATTACCTTAAAAATTATATCAATTTTCGTCTTTACATCGCAGTGAAAACCAACGTAAAAAATTAATGTCAATGTAATATCTGAAAAAAGAAAAAGAAATTTATGATTTTTTAGGTTACAAATTTATGTAAAGTAAAAATAGATTATTGAAAAACTATAGGCTAAGTAAGAACCGGAAATCTGAATAATTAAAGTTATCAATATAAAATATATTCTTTATTTTATATGCCTGACTTATTTTAAGGAATAAAATTCACTAAGAAGAGTTTTTACCATAGTCTACGCAATTTAAACATTCTCATAGATTTAAAAACAGGAGAAATGAATCTCGTGTATGCATAAGAGTATGAACTATCTCTATAAATAACTTTTTGATGTAATTTGAATTAAATTTGAATCATTTTCGTTAAAGTCGACACTTAAATGTTAAGAAAGTTAAAAATGTGCATATTTTTGGAACGGTTTAAAAAAGATAAATTACAATATTTCTTAAAGATTTTATAACCAAAAAAATTAATGTAAAATAATTTAATTGCTGGCAAATAGCCTAATCATTTACCTCTAAGTTGTGTAGGATATAGCCTATAGGTCCATTAATAAAATAGCTAAAATTTCATGTGAATGTTTTATTTTTAGTATAAACTAATTGGATGAGAAAATAAATTTAATTAGATCCGATTGAAATAATAATTAAAAATGAATTATTAGTTAATTTAAACGCAAAACATTATGCATTAATAGTGCAAGTTTTTAAATTTCTTCTGAATAAAAGTAAACTAAACATTTATAATTTGAATAATATATATATAAAGATGATCTATCTGCCTATTATGTTTCCAAATACTTAATTATTTTTCTGTCCAAAAGAACTAAAATTGATCTAACTTTGTAATTTACTTGTGTGTATAATTTAAGAAAAAGTTTGCAAAGCAGGCAGCGCCCTTTCTAATTATTGCTTAATTAAATTCATTTACCAATAAAATAAAAACAAAATTATAAAAAATTAAATTCTTCTCTCAATAAAATGATAAAATCATCATAAATGAATGACTGACTGACTGACTAAGTTAAAAATGTAAAAAAGTTCTATAGTTTTACGTTGTATAGCTTCATATAAATTATATAATATAAATCTACAATATTAAATGAATAAATTAACTTAATAGTATAATTAACTTATTAATTTAATAAAGAAATTTCTACTTAATTAATATATATTAAATGTACTGCACTAAGCTAAATGAGTTTACTACTAAGTACAAACTAGTTCATTATTACGATTTTATTTGATTATGCATGATGAAAACAAGTTTTTAATTGTAATAACAACCTCTTAATTTCCATTTTATCCACATTAAAAATTTTAATGAAGACAATTTATTTATGGAATTAAAAAAAGAATTTTTCTTCTCTCCAATTGAAATTTCCAGTTGTAAAAATTACAAGATATGCGAGTAAAATTCTTTTTAATTCTTAATGATGATGCATACGATAAAAATATATATATATATAAAGATCCAAATCTAAAATAAATAAATGAATATTAAAAACCATTTTTTTTAAAGCTATAAAACCATGAGAGCGGAGACTAATTCAATAAATACTTAATAAATAATAATATTAAAAATAAGACAGCTTTACCCGTAGGCTATTTTAAACTAAATAGCGTATGATTATTAGTATTATTTAAATAAAAAATAAATACATTATTATTATTTTATTACTGCTAAATAGCGTTATAATAGTTAAGTAATAACTCAATATGCAAATTAACTTGTCTTAAGAAATGTTTGATGAAATTGCTTGTAATTTTACGGTTTTTTTCTTTTCTTTTTTATAAATATTAGTTATAAATTTCGTGGATTTCTTTATTGTTATACATCAGAATTGATTTAAAAAATGCGAAACTTAATATTATTTTTTAATGAGTTAATATAAAAACAAGTGAATTAAAAGGAAATTTCGAACATTAATTTAACGTAGAATCTATGAGAAATTTTTCAACAATTTCAAGAAAATTCTGTATTTTCATTTGTAAATTTTTCTCTTCTAGTTTAATTTTGATTCATTTTAAATGACGAATATAGTTTCCTCTTTAGAAGGTAATATTACATTGTATTCTTATTACATAACAATAAAATAGACACATCAATTCTTAAATTGATTTTATAACATTGAATTCTAAGATTAAACTGAGTAATGTGTACTCAGCCTAGAATAAGAATATAGGTCAATTCACAGGGAACTAGTGCAGCTTACGTATGAGCAATTGTAATTTGTAAACATTCTGTATAACAATACAGGTGGGAGGGATTAAACAGGCAACTCCCACAGTGTGGAGATATTGCTAAAAAACATTTCTTTACTAACGAAATAAGAAGACAAAACTTTACTAAGAAATGACAAAGAAAATGTCGACATCAGCTGACTCATTCAAACAATTGAAACAAAGTGACCGCCTAAGTTTGGGTCACGAAGATAATCACGAAACAGCGTGACAAACGTGAGTGTTAAGAACTCATTATCTTTCAGTAAAATATATAGGTTTATATATATATAAATATCCTGGAATAACCTTGTTCCGAATGCATTTTGTTGTAAAATGAATAGAGAGAACTTTAAATTCGAGTGACCTTTCCAGGTTTCTTTTCATTCGTCAAAGGAATTTTAACATTGTTATAATTAAGAATTACCTTACATTGTTCGAAGGAAAAGGTCATAATACAGGCCTACAGATTAAACCACGTTTACATTTGAACTTTAAATCAAAGAACGTGTTATATTATTTTAATAGCTCCATAAATATCAGAATTTATAAATTAGGAAAGCCTTAAGTTATCCAAATTGACTAATAGATTTTAATGGCATAATAATAGGTAATTAAATACATAAAAAAAAAAATTGAAGTTGAATGTAAGGTTAGATAGAGAAAAATACAAGTTTATAACCAGTTGCATAGCCAGTTCTTCACTAAATGGAAGTAAATTAAATTAACTGGAAACGACGAGAAGTAAGAATCGGTATAATGTAAGATATAAAGGATAACATTGTTGATAAAAGTTAATTCAGCAGTGTTGTCTCATAAATGCTTAATGAAGAGTTTATTCTCTATAGGTGGTCATCCAATGCGGAAAGTTTTTTCTTGTAGGACCTCCCGTATTTGATAAACTATAAAAAAACTTTTAAGACTGTCTTATAATATTTATGTTCAATGGCAAAGCAATTAACGCGTCTACGTTGTCAGACCAAACGGATTCTATCAGAGTTCTTGTAGATGAAACGGAGGAGGTCCTTCACTAGAAAACGAAAAAAAGCTATTAACCAATAGGTTAGTACCATTAACCTAATGCTTCGCTATCTGTCAGACTTAATGCAAGAACGAGCGGCTATTAAAACCGAGGGTTCTAAAACATTTCATCGAAGTAATGGCAGAAAACTGACATTTTACAACATGACCCGCAGTATTGCATTTAAAAGTCGAATGCAGAAACTTTCATCTACATTTTTTATTCTGAGTCGACCTTCTGAGTAAGAAAATATTATTTCTTTATTAATAGATGATGTTCTTATTTTCTTAAAGAATAATGCTTTTTTTAAATTTGCTAAAAACTACATATTTAATAATGTGCAGTAATTAAACGTATCTTAAAGTATCGAGAAAGTTCTTGTTTCGGCTATTTTATTATTGAATTATTTGTTAAAACTGTAACGTAATATTTTAATTTGTTCACTTACGTTATAGACTATAGACTAAAAACATGCCCAAAATTAACATATCTAAAATAACTCGATACGTATTGTAGAAAGATGTGTATCTTTATAAGTTAATTTCACAATAAAATTAAAGTATAAATCTAAAATATTAACGTCTATTAACAATTAATAAAACTTTAAAGAATCTAAGAAATAAAGATCTTGAGCAAGAACGTGTTAACTTATTATTTTTCGATTTTCCAAGAAAAGTTATCTTAAAGTTCCGAACTTGCTCTGTATTTGAACATATGATTGATTATATCTGAGGTTGGTAGGCCAGTCTATGAGAAGTTATGGAAATTATATCTGTCCTATGTAGAAATTCAACAATACACACCAATGAAACAACAAGGTCTAAAAATATAAACTAATCTATAAAAGGACGTTGAATAAAATAATTTATAGTATAAATATTTGTATAAACACTTAATATAGACTATAAACAAATAAATGTATTTTTTAATTTCTGTAAAATATTATTAAATCGCTATTATTATGATACATTTTAAGTATTCTAAGCCATATAAAATCTAAATATCTTAACCTAGATCTAGATTTAATAAACTTAGTTTAGATTCATCATTCATGAATGTTTTATCTCAGATTTTAGTAGTAGGCTATTGAAACTGTACGTTATATAATTTTCGCTTTTATAACCAAAAAATAGGTCTAATTATTAAAAAAAATATTAAAATGGTAAGGACCTCTATAGTAAAATCTTATCATAATGACATAAGGCTACATCTCGATGTAAACCTTATGACTTAAGTTATTGATAAATGTAAGAACGATCAGATACTCATATTTTTATTTTCTGATGTTTTCAACAATTATAAATAAAACTTTAAACTATATTTCTACACATTTTTAGAGCCTACATTATTTGCTAAGTAGGCAATTAATATTTATTTATGAATATTAGCCTAAATTGTATCTAAAATTCTGTGTTAAATTGAAGAAGCATTATCTTGTAATTTTCCAAATTTTATATTGATAAAACGGCATTAATACATCAGAACTAAGTTATATCTACGTTAAAATTTGACGATTATTATTTGCATAAGAATTGTATGTATGTCTTAGTGCTAGACTAGATAGAATATAACTGTATAACTAAGTTATAGAGAATCTTTAAGGTTCTAGAATTTCGTGTTAAGAGATAATAAACAGTAAACTTAAGAACTTATTTTATGGAAGGAATACATAGAAGTTAATGAAATTAAAACAGAAATCTAACATAGACTCATTTTAAAAATTAAAATTTCTATCAGTTCTTTCCATAATTAAATTGATATAAAAATTGCATAACTTTATAATAGAGAACCTTACATTATAATTTATATTGTACTAAATATTTTCTCTTCTTTTCAAATAACTAAATTGGCGTAAATACAGTTTATCAATGAGTAATTATAAAATAAAGAATAATAATTATTAGACTATATCCCAACAAAAATGAAATAACCGATTTAATTTTAAAAGTATTTGTTGCGCCTATACCATAAGTCCCAGTGAATTAAATAAAAAAGTTCTAAATGAATAAAAAAATTTTGCATCTGTTTATATATAATTACTAAAATCTAGACAACTATCTCTGAATTTACTCTTACATATATACACATAATAATGAGCTTAGACTTTAACTAAATCGATTTTAATTTGTTTTACTTTTATAATCTTTATTTGGATTCAGTCTAATTTATATTTATAGCTATCTACGGGAGATTTAAGATTTAAAATTAAAGACATTTAAAATCTATAATATAAACTCTATAATTTAATTTTAATATAAATAGCCTAATGAATTTGGAATATTTACATACAAGGTTAGTTAAGATGCATAGAGAAAAATTATTAATAAAATATTTTTGTTTATGTAGTCTATTACAGAATGAATTAGTTTATGAATGTGAAAATTCTAAGAGATAGAAAAGTCATAGTTAAATACACAAGATTAAAAAAATAAAGATTTTAGTTTTCGGGAATAAAAATGCTTACAAAATAATCTCCAAACAACGGCCATTTTTTAATTTTCCTATTAATGGTCGTTGTTCAGAGGTTTGACTGTATGTAATTGTAATATAATAAGCCGTACAGTACAGTACAATTAATAATCTACAAATATGCGCTACTTTTACGATTGCAACTAGACCTATTAGTTTCACTTGAATTAATATTTTTATATTATAAAAGTGATTCTCTGTCGATATATTAAATCGCTCAACAATTTAATTTTTAAAAAAGTTATTTCGATTAAAGTTTAGACCTATTGTGAATATCATTAAGTTTGAGAATCTTCGAGTTAATTTAAGAAATTTTAAAGTTGCATAACAAAAATAACAACAGATTAATTACATTCTAGATGTAAAAATGTTGTTAAGAATGAGTTTAAAAGTTTTAAAATCAATAAAAATTTTATACACTTAAGATTTTTTAGTAGTAACTTCAAAAATTTATAATGTTAATCTTCATCTTGACAGTTTCACTTCGTTGTTATTATAACAGATAATTTAATTAAAATAACAGATTTAAAAATAAAATAATCAAGAACTTAGAAAATTAGAGTTTAAATTTACTAAATTAGAAAAAAAATAAATAATTTGTAATAAATGTTTTAAATGTAAAACGATGCTTGTTCTCCTATCTCTGCATAAACGTAACTTACATAAAATTCAATTAAAATTTCTGACAAATTTCTTTTAAAATATTCACAATCGCATTTAAGGTTACTTATTAAGCATGCTATTAAAACGTAAAGACTACTAAAATCATTGTGAAAGTCGTAATTTTGACAGATCTAAGAAAAAAGTAAGCATCTCTTTACCAGTATCAATCGCGGAGCTATCGACTCTAGAAGTGTAGACTACATATTCTTTTAATGGGAAGTTTATTTCGCAGTAAAACTTTAATGAACACTAAACAATGCACTTTTAAATTCACGATATCATCACTATCTACTGGTTTATCGTGTGATCTTTTTGTTGTAGAAATAATCATTTCGATTTATGAATCTGGTATAAATCCCAAGGCCTTAGTATCCATTATAAATCATAGAAAAAAAAGTGTTACGTTTCATATAATATCACCCCCTTTGAACTGTTTGATTGCACTTTATTAATTTTAAAGGTAAACATTTTTTAAAAATGTTTTATTCTGTTCAACAGTAGACTAAACTTACATAGAATGGAAGTAGTGTAATCTATAAATGCTTTTAAGTTTATTTTAATAATTTTATTATCTAAAATTCCATTTATTTATTTAAAATTTAAACATAAAACATCTTAAAATAAAATTTTTGTATTATATTTTTCCAATGAGAATTCAAGAGAACAGCTGTTTATAATTAGAGTAAAAATCATATGCATTAGAATAGACAAGTAAATAAAGGAAAAATATATGTCCAAATTATTCTAAATATATAAACACGTACGAGTTAATTTAGTAAGTATTCATTATAAAATTCTCCAGAAAGTTATTTTCATTTTCATATTTTCAAATAATAGAAGCCTCTATACATATTTTTCTAGTTTGAAAAGCGAAACATAACAGGCAATAAAAATGGAGTCGCGTGTTAGGAACGAGTGGTCGTTCTGCATGGTCACATCTAATCAAAATTCTGCACCAGATATCATGCAGATCACGTACTCTGTCATGATATATTCTATCTAACAATGTCAAGTGCAATTGTACACGTGGGATAAACCTTGTCATTCCTCTAGTCATCGGTTATCTTAATATTTAAACTGTCAAACTATACTCAGACTAAATAACTTTAGCATGCAAACCTCGTAAACAAATTTCGAAGCTTTTAACTTCTATTATCTTTTAATTTAAAGATAATTCTATCTTTATATAATATCTTAATAATTATTATGATCATATTTAGATATAAAATCAAATAAAACAAAAGTAATTTTATGTTTTATATAGGCCTATATATAGAGGCTGCTTATCTGCGAGAGATGTTTGAAAATGGATCGCCGTTAGAAAAATCTATCCTGGAGCAAAAGATGTAGAGATAAAAATCTCTTAAGCACGTATCTTTATCGATAGAATAATTGTAATTTATTATTACTTGTATTGATTTTTAATGGCAAAATAACTGCAACTGTTAAAACAGTTTAATCAGATTAAAATAAATATATTTAACTTCTCCGATAAGCCCGTTTTAATAATTAATAATCGAAGATACCCGTTAAAAATCTTTTCGATAATTTAATTAAATTTAATAATCTCCAAACAAAATTGGGCATTCTCATAGAAACATAATAAACAGGATTTCGTTTGAATGATCAAGGAAAAACAACAACAATGAATGTCAAAGCTTTCAATTGAGTCTATTTAGAACGTATGCCTTGATAAACACAAATAAGTTCGTTGAAATTGGACCCAGAAATAAAAAAAAAATAGTTTTGAACTCTTGACTGAAGGCTTTTTTCCCTCTCTGTTGTATGGCTGGAAGTTAATAGGGCACCTACCTCGTAAATGCAAGACAGATTGCGTGCATGGCATGTATAGGAGGCGTGGTTTCCTCTCCACTCTGGCGACGTGGTGTCTCCGGTGCCAACTAGACTCCTCCCCCTTAGTCACGAGATGAATGACAACAATCCAGTTTGGTATTGAATGTTCCATAGGTCGACGCCAACCAATCCTACTATATATATATATATAAAATACTGTAATCTATTTATTTGTTTTAATTATTAATCTATTGTCTATCTTAAGCTATTATTAGAAATAAATACAATGCAAAATTTCTACTTGGAATGTACTGTAACGTAAATATTTCTCATTTAGAAAATAATATCAGTTTGTGAAATTAAATTATTCATTTCGTTATTTAGCACCGTGTTTCATAATTTCAATTATTAATGTTGGAAACCGTTACCGTTGCAAGATTTATAAAATTCAATAGTTTGACAGAACGGGAGAATGTCTACTAACGATTTTTTTTAAATAAATTGTTATTTTGATCCCGTTTAAGTCTATGTATTTTTACTGTAAAATAGCTTAATAGAATACGGATTTAATATAAATTTAATTATATAATATGATATAAAATCTTTAATGTAAGATTAATACTTGGAACTAACTTACTGTGTTTTTAATTAATTATTTAATTATTATTAATATAATTTAGAGTAAAACTTAGTATTATCTTATAAATAAAAATATATATAAAAAATTGAAATTCATCATTAAACTTAAACTATTGCTTTTTAACAACTCAATAGTGGAAAATCATCATAATAAGGACATTTTTATATAATTTATTCGTTTTTACAAGTGTCAAAAGGATATAGATTTAAGCTACGAGAGATTTATAATAATGCAGCAAAAGTTATTTTAATCATTAAAAGGGGCAATCCATGATGTTTTTCATTTTTGTTTTAATTATGCATTACATTCGTAATGAATAATTGGAAGAAGTGATGCAAAAATACGGAGTATCTCGCTCGAATTCCCCCCAGTTTCAAATTCCTCTATAAAATGCAATTATGAAGATACGTCATCGAAATGTCTGTGACAGTTCAAGTTTAATGTGCATATGCTGAAAACGCCCGCTACTGATTCGTGCTGGCGTTGCTCGGTCTTAGATGTAATTTTTTCAGTTCGTTGAATTGATTACGCCGGTCCCACTCTTGGCCCTCGATCTCTCGCCATTAACCTATTTAGACTTTTTTTCTTTGGAGGTATGTAAAAAATCAGGTTTGTGCCACAAATGTGCAAAATATGTCAGTTGTTTGTACCCGCATCCTGGATGCATTAACAGAATGGTGCCCGACATGCAGTAGATCGGCTATAGACTGAAATCGCGTACAGAATGGATATCCCACGTTCCACGTTGAGTATTTTATGTAAATTTTTAAGACGTGCTTGCTATTAAACCTATTCTCACTTCGGTATACAGTTCGCATTCCCAAAATTATTACTGAAAACTAGGGAGATTCGAGCAGGACATCCTGTAATACGGCAAATGGTGACATATGTATGGACCAACAAGATTCTATTGTAGATCCACATTCCGTAACTATTGTTTGTTTTGCTTCATTTATTGAAATGCATTTTTATGAAGGAATGCTATAAAAATCCCTAGTTTTTCTGTTTGGACCATAAGACCACGTACTGAATTTGTTTAAAGTACGAGTATTTTTTCAACAAGGCCTTGAAAGTGTCAAGATGAAGTAACCTACAATTAAATTACATGATTCTTGAAAATTCCGCAATCCTGCGTTTGCAGATGTATCGTTAACTCGATCCAAAACGTAGGAATTAACTATATTTATTTTGGTTGATTACATACACAGTTAAATCCTATACTGAATTACCGAGTAGCGTCACTATACACTTGCAGACGCAAAATAATGAAAATTTCAAGAATTATCTAATTGAAATATAGCCGCTGATCCTAGCAACAAATGAAGTGCAATATTAATACAAAAGAGAAATCCTTCATTATGTCAAAAAACAAATAAACTAACTAGCTTCTATTGAAATTAAAAAAAAAAAACATCTATAAATTTAGGCTATAGAATATCTATTTTCTAAATGTCATAGTACCGAATATAATTATTAAACAGTCCACATATTCGACATATTACACTGAATGTAACGAATAAGTTTTTGTCTTTCACTTCTAGCATTTTCTTATGCATTCTTAAAATTAATATTTTTCTCATAAGATCACTTAGATTTGATGCTTTATAAAAAGTTGTAAATACTAAAAACGAGTAAAATCTTCAAGTCCGATTCCAATCCATATTTGACACGTGACCACCTTCTATCGCCCCACCCCTTCGACCTTTAAGCTTTAAAGTGGGTGAACAAAATCGTGTCCCCCCATACGAACAGTTACAACCTCCATTTTTCTCCCATGTTTCAAGGGCCCCTGAATCCAAAAATGTAAAAAATCTTGGTGGATCAATTTTTACCGATCCCCATACTTTCCCTCTGTTACATAACATTCGGGAAAGTAAAATCATTTAATATANAATATTTAACACAAAATCAAGTCCATACAAATACATTTATATAATATCTTAATAATTATTATGATCATATTTAGATATAAAATCAAATAAAACAAAAGTAATTTTATGTTTTATATAGGCCTATATATAGAGGCTGCTTATCTGCGAGAGATGTTTGAAAATGGATCGCCGTTAGAAAAATCTATCCTGGAGCAAAAGATGTAGAGATAAAAATCTCTTAAGCACGTATCTTTATCGATAGAATAATTGTAATTTATTATTACTTGTATTGATTTTTAATGGCAAAATAACTGCAACTGTTAAAACAGTTTAATCAGATTAAAATAAATATATTTAACTTCTCCGATAAGCCCGTTTTAATAATTAATAATCGAAGATACCCGTTAAAAATCTTTTCGATAATTTAATTAAAATAACAGATTTAAAAATAAAATAACCAANTTAATTTTAAAAGTATTTGTTGCGCCTATACCATAAGTCCCAGTGAATTAAATAAAAAAGTTCTAAATGAATAAAAAAATTTTGCATCTGTTTATATATAATTACTAAAATCTAGACAACTATCTCTGAATTTACTCTTACATATATACAAATAATAATGAGCTTAGACTTTAACTAAATCGATTTTAATTTGTTTTACTTTTATAATCTTTATTTGGATTCAGTCTAATTTATATTTATAGCTATCTACGGGAGATTTAAGATTTAAAATTAAAGACATTTAAAATCTATAATATAAACTCTATAATTTAATTTTAATATAAATAGCCTAATGAATTTGGAATATTTACATACAAGGTTAGTTAAGATGCATAGAGAAAAATTATTAATAAAATATTTTTGTTTATGTAGTCTATTACAGAATGAATTAGTTTATGAATGTGGAAATTCTAAGAGATAGAAAAGTCATAGTTAAATACACAAGATTAAAAAAATAAAAAAGATTTCAGTTTTCGGGAATAAAAATGCTTACAAAATAATCTCCAAACAACGGCCATTTTTTAATTTTCCTATTAATGGTCGTTGTTCAGAGGTTTGACTGTATGTAATTGTAATATAATAAGCCGTACAGTACAGTACAATTAATAATCTACAAATATGCGCTACTTTTACGATTGCAACTAGACCTATTAGTTTCACTTGAATTAATATTTTTATATTATAAAAGTGATTCTCTGTCGATATATTAAATCGCTCAACAATTTAATTTTTAAAAAAGTTATTTCGATTAAAGTTTAGACCTATTGTGAATATCATTAAGTTTGAGAATCTTCGAGTTAATTTAAGTAATTTTAAAGTTGCATAACAAAAATAACAACAGATTAATTACATTCTAGATGTAAAAATGTTGTTAAGAATGAGTTTAAAAGTTTTAAAATCAATAAAAATTTTATACACTTAAGATTTTTTAGTAGTAACTTCAAAAATTTATAATGTTAATCTTCATCTTGACAGTTTCACTTCGTTGTTATTATAACAGATAATTTAATTAAATTTAATAATCTCCAAACAAAATTGGGCATTCTCATAGAAACATAATAAACAGGATTTCGTTTGAATGATCAAGGAAAAACAACAACAATGAATGTCAAAGCTTTCAATTGAGTCTATTTAGAACGTATGCCTTGATAAACACAAATAAGTTCGTTGAAATTGGACCCAGAAATAAAAAAAAAATAGTTTTGAACTCTTGACTGAAGGCTTTTTTCCCTCTCTGTTGTATGGCTGGAAGTTAATAGGGCACCTACCTCGTAAATGCAAGACAGATTGCGTGCATGGCATGTATAGGAGGCGTGGTTTCCTCTCCACTCTGGCGACGTGGTGTCTCCGGTGCCAACTAGACTCCTCCCCCTTAGTCACGAGATGAATGGCAACAATCCAGTTTGGTATTGAATGTTCCATAGGTCGACGCCAACCAATCCTACTATATATATATATATAAAATACTGTAATCTATTTATTTGTTTTAATTATTAATCTATTGTCTATCTTAAGCTATTATTAGAAATAAATACAATGCAAAATTTCTACTTGGAATGTACTGTAACGTAAATATTTCTCATTTAGAAAATAATATCAGTTTGTGAAATTAAATTATTCATTTCGTTATTTAGCACCGTGTTTCATAATTTCAATTATTAATGTTGGAAACCGTTACCGTTGCAAGATTTATAAAATTCAATAGTTTGACAGAACGGGAGAATGTCTACTAACGATTTTTTTTAAATAAATTGTTATTTTGATCCCGTTTAAGTCTATGTATTTTTACTGTAAAATAGCTTAATAGAATACGGATTTAATATAAATTTAATTATATAATATGATATAAAATCTTTAATGTAAGATTAATACTTGGAACTAACTTACTGTGTTTTTAATTAATTATTTAATTATTATTAATATAATTTAGAGTAAAACTTAGTATTATCTTATAAATAAAAATATATATAAAAAATTGAAATTCATCATTAAACTTAAACTATTGCTTTTTAACAACTCAATAGTGGAAAATCATCATAATAAGGACATTTTTATATAATTTATTCGTTTTTACAAGTGTCAAAAGGATATAGATTTAAGCTACGAGAGATTTATAATAATGCAGCAAAAGTTATTTTAA